ACATATATCTGTGAACAAGTTGGATTAGTTTATCAAAATGAATATACTTTAGCATATAAATCACATTCAGAAAATGGTGCTGGAAGGCAAAAATCAAGTAGAGTCAACTCTTGAATTTTCAATGAACGAGCTGTGACTGAGATGTGACTGAGTCGCTGTTTCAAATTTGTATAATATCGGAATTTTATGAGATTTTCTTAAAAAGGACAAGCTTAAAAGCTCTAGATTTAGGGTTATGCATGCCAAATATTAAGTACTCAGAAATCAAAACTTAATAAATCAAACCATTTGAAACTATGAACTTGATTTTGACGCCAGAAAGTTCTTATTAATGAATCTACAAAGATATTCTCATAAAATGAGACAAATCATTTTGCCAAGAATACAAATTCATTAAAAATTAGAATTATATTAACACGAACATTATTTATTGAGTTTTAATTCAATATGACATAAATATTGAACACTTTGAAATGTACAAACTAAATCGATTATATAGTTGTTTTACATATAGTATCTTCCTAAAAATTCAATAAAATAAATTTCACAATTTTTTATTATAAAAAGTGAAGAAATTTTAGGAAAATAAGTTTTGCAATGTTTATAAAAAAAAAAAATTGTAGAATTCCATATTTTTTTCTTTTTTCATTGGGCTAAAATAAATTTGGTTGGTCATCAACTCATTTCTTCATTTGACATTCGTAATTTAATATTATTTTCAATGTATGTATACAACAGTACGAAAATACCGACCTTGTCTTTCTTGTCTTTGGAATTTATGAGAAGACGAGGATGACAAAGTCGCAAAATATGTTGCATATTGCATCTACAACCTACTTATAAACTAACTTTAATTCAGAATTGGAGGAATGATGTATCCCATCTTCAAATAAATTAAACCCCCTTAACAAAATCTGAAACAACAAATACAATCTTGGATATGAATTATTGCACACTTAGGTTCTAAGGACCGTGTGGTCCTTATAAAATTAGGACAAACGGTTTTCGGTTCGTTTTAGAGTATGTAAATTATATTATTTTAAATTCTTACAATGCTAAGCGACTAATAACGTAGTAATTTTTGACAAGAACATTGCGATGATTCTTTTGCGTCGACATTAGTTTTTTTCTTCTTGTTTTGTTAAGAAAAATTGATTAAAAAAAAGAGCAAAGTCATCACTTGTCATCACTGTATTTATAAAAATTCAATTTATCTAATTTAGATTATTGTTTATTACTTTAATTTTCTTTTAAATAAAAAGCAACTGGTCATTTATTTTGTTTTAATCCAATCTTGTAAGATTATTATTTTTGCATTATAAGTATCAATAAAAGATATGTTGCTTTATTGTAGAAAGGTTATGCTAATAAAAAGGGTTTAGAGTTAATGCTAATTCTGGTCATACATTAGACCTATGAAAATCGAAAAGATAACATCTCTTCTTACCAACATTTTCAGGTATTGACGGTATTCGGGTTGGATCCAAACGCATTGATACTTTTAAACCTAACATGTACCGAAATCTCAGCTGCATGTCTTCTTTGATAATGAATCCTAATATCGTAATATTTATGCTCAAAGCAACATTCCATCAATGTTGACACCTTCAATGAATATTTAAAACATAATTTTTTTAATTGTATTCCTTTATTTGATTATTAAATGGCCTAAAAATAGATGCAATTTTTTCCGTCATACTTTTGATAAATGACATTAGTCATTTTTTCATTTGTAATTTGGATCATTTGCAAAATGACAAATGCTTAAAAAAATTTAGGGTCATGACAAGATTAAACGGTCAAATGACCAGGTCATTACGAAAATGTCATATAATTCAAATCATTTAAAGTTTTGTTTATATTATTCTAATCAAATATGATTTTATGTTAATGTGGATTATTTTAATTGAATAATGCATAGATATTTTTATTAAAAATAATAAATTAATAGAATAATTGATTTTATTTAAAAAAAAATATCTTTTTTATTATTTAGTCAAGATGATATCGATATATTTTAATTGGAATAATACAAATTAGTCTGTTAAAAAATCAGTTAAAATTGACCGATTTTGACCGAAAATCGGTCGGTCAGATGACTGATATCAGTCAAGTTCATGACCGGTCATTCTATTCGGTTCAAGGAAAAAGAGATGGTTGTTGATAAAGTTATCCTCGAGAAAACTTGTATAAACTGCATATCGTTAGGTTATGAGAAATAAACTATAAGGAAATATATATGTATAAATATATATAGTGTTGTATGAATGAATATACCATAAATATGAATGTTGCCAGTAAAATCAAGTCATGAGATATAGTAATAAATCAAATTCAAAACGAATTTCCAATATTATCAACTTCATTAATTATCTAAATAAAGAAAAGTTTAAAAATACGTGGGAACGAAAGTAATTTTTTTCGTTAAAAAAAAAAAAAAAAAATGATTTCACATTAGTATGGTGCCATAGTGCCATGTATTTAAAAGAATCTAACTGAATTAAATCTGAATTACGGAAACTTCTGGAATTTATCTTAAATTGAAAGATAATGATGACCCACCTCCATGTGCGATTTTATTTTTATACGCTAATACATTTACGGGAAGTTGTATATTCTGATAAACTGAAAAAATTTGAGAAAACAAATTTTGAGATGAAAATTTATTATTGATTAGCTCTTTCCTGATATTTAATTTCGATGCTGATTTTATAAAGCATTATTTTTCAGAACATAAGAATAATTGTAATAATATACTTTATCTTGTTGGGGATTTCACGCTTACATGTTCGTAGGAATTATTTGTTGATTTTAATTTGTATTTTAGTTAATATATAAATATTTATAATAAAACTGCAACAAAAAAAATATTTTAAATTATTAAATATTTCAAAAATTTTAATAAATTTTTAGATGAAACGATTAACCCGTCCGCAATTAAATATAAGGGATGAATACTAGAAAAATCGGGTCTTGAAACATTTTTTAACATAATTGATTCTTTTATTGTAACTTTGATTTCTTATAATACTTTTAACGAGTGGTCAAATCTTAATTTTCTCCTTTATAATAAATGAAGTAAAAAAAGATAAACAAAATGATGTCGTACAAACTGTGTATGAAACGAAATTATTATAATATAAAAAATGTTAAATAATGGGACAACAATAAATTTGATGAGAATAAAAATTGGGACTTGATAACATTAGTATTATTATAGAATTATTTGTTTCTAGTTATTATATAATATTCCTATGCTCCTATTTTTTTTAATTTTTATAAAATTTTAACCAGACTAGCAACAATACAAGCAATATTTTTTTTTTTATTTTTTTTTAAAAAAACTTTTTAATATGAGAAGAATATATGATAAAGAGATATAAAAAACTTGGCGAGTTCAACTGTTTTCGATAGAAATTTTAATTTTTTAATTTTTTTTTGCAAATATTATTATAAACAATTTTCAGAAACTCAATATTTCTTTGATAATTTAAAATAAGTAAAAACAAAATAATTTTATTAAACGATTAAGAACAAAATGTTTATTAAAATAGAATCACGAGACAGTAAATGTAGCATGATTTGAACAAGATACAAAAGACAAAACTTTAAAATAGATCAAGGATAAGCACACATTTTCTCAAAGTCGCACCCAATCTTATCACCAAGAATCTCTTTAAATTTGTTCCACTCACAATATTCACTATCACAACCCGGAATAAACATCGGTTTAAAATCAAGTAACAGACGTATGTATACGTGATCGGAACATTCATAAATTTCGAAATAAACGGTAGAAGACCAGTGTACAACCCTAAATTCTGTATATTCGATGTTTTGAATTTGTTCAAAGGTTAAATTTGCCGTGAGTGGATATGGGTTTTTAAATACTCCCTATAAAATAAAAAATATATATGTCGTTATCATGAAATAATAAGGTTAAATAAATAATCATAATAATAATAATAAGTTTAAATTTACATACGATTGTAGTAAACACCATTACTATAGTGAGACCGTGAGCATTCCTTATATCAGCTATCACAGTAGAATTCCCATTCAAATAATCCTCGACTCCATTTACCAATTGAGTTACATATCTACAACCTATTCGTGTATTTAAAGGACTACCATATGAGAATCTATAATAAAAGTTAATTTCCCAAGCATAGAGTGATAATCTAAGTTCTTTAGGACTCAATAAAGAACACCATGCATCAGTTCGATTATAAACGGTGAGCCAAAATTGGCAATTATTAAAAATATGTGGTACTAGTCTTGCATCAAGAGGTGGACTAATATTATACTCTTCGGAAATTCGCTTGGCAATTGGCGCAAGTGTCTTGTTACCATAGGCATAGGCTTGTTCGTCAAGTAATGCATTATTACTATCAACAGTCTCATTCCAACGACGACAGGCGGTAAACATACTTAATTCAGCGTCTTGTTCCTAATACATGAATATGCGAGGTTATAGTATGTGTTAAAAGATATTGACAAAAAAAATTCATTATAAATGGCGCAGGGTAAAATTTACCAGTGGTACATTCCGATAGTAAATAGGTTGACTTTTACAAGTGTCTAAAGGCCCATAACCATTGAATAATCCTTCACTAAAGGACATTGTCGACATACCGGTTCTTAAATAAGAAATACATACATCATCAATATAATTTATTGTAGGAAAATGATGAATTGATGCAAAAATTGATACCTTGAAGTTTGAGTACTTTGAAATCTTATAACTTCCGGATCATATTTAATCCCATCCCAAAACTTTCGGTATCTCTTACGAGATTGTAAACCATCGAAATAAGGTTCAATTTGGCCTCTTTTGGTTAATTGGAAATTTTTACTCAATGGGAAAGGATTTTTATACTAAATGGAAAAGTTTTTGCGATAGTGATCAATAATTGTATTGTGCATTGTATGATTAAATTGAATTTTATCATTACCCATTCCTTTGCAACTGACACATTAGCAAAAATGTTTTCCAATATTTCAAATTGGAGAATATTTTCTGGAGTTGGGTATCTTGATCCTATTAATTAATTTGTTAAAAAGTGATTTTCATGTATTATTTATTTATGCTGTTAGAATTTGTACACGAAATAATAATTACCATGTCTAGTAAGTAGATGTAATTGCTTTAAGTTACATTTATCGGGATAACTTATGGGTTTGATGTCAAGAGAAAAAGCAGTTTTTGATGGTTCAAGGAAAAAGAGTTTGCTGTTAATAAGATATTCTCGTGAATAATTGAATAAAACGCATTGCGTTGGATTATAGGAAATAAATAAACCGAAGACTAATACAGAATATACAATTTGGTATGTGATCTGCATCTTTTTGTTTTTTTTTTAAAAAAAACAATAATTATAACGATTAATTTCCTCTTTTTTGAAAAAATTTTTTTTTTAAAAAAAACTTGGGACGAAATTGCTTCTTTATTAGTTTTATTTTTGGCGTTATTTCTTCGACAATATTGGAAATAGTATGATGGTGATATCTTTGGAAATGAGTATGATGGTATGGACATCGTAAGATCGTGAAATAATCGAAAAACAAACTCCTAATTGTAATATAAAATACACTTACCCAATTTTAACGTGTTGTATGGTATTATTAGGTAATTTATATGGTGTGACAGAAACGTTATGTATTGTACCTGAATAAAAACAATTCGAATTTAGATCCTAGATCCAGAAACATTTTTTCGGATCCGGTTTTAACCTGGGCCCAATTACTTAATATTATTCACATGTCATTACCCTATTTAATTTATCCATTAATTATAAATAGTAATACTTACTATTTATAATGATTACTATTTATATTTATTTTTGAAAATATTTGTTTGGATGAGGTCGGAAAAATATCGGTCGAAGACCGAAGTCCCATAGTTTGTTAATATGGCAACCAATAGAAATACATGACTGATAAAATAGACATTCGGAAGAAATAAATATATGATATAAATTATAGTTGGCTAAATTACATTATTATTATTATTATTATTATTTGACCCTGGAGCATTAAATTTCTCAAATTACATTTTATAATATTTATATCGGCCAACTCTAAATTAAGGATCAGTACTGCGCCATTCGTTTAAAAATGAGTTTATACCTTTGGTTATAAGATTTCGTAGCTCCCATAAAACTATCAAGTTCGGACCAAGAGAACCCATCGTTATTACGAAATAAACTAAATCTTCCAGCTTCGCTGAAAAAAAAAATTTGTAACTTAAAAAGTAACAATCTATGATTCTTTATTAATAAATAATAAAATAATCAGAAGCTGGATTTTTGGGCTTGAAGTTCGACAGTATAGTTAAGTAAAATGCGCGGCCAAAATGTCTGCTAATTGGTTGATGATTTGCAAAAATATTTATAAGCGGTTTAAAGAACGTAATAACCAATGATACTTTTAATTGTTTTTTATTTGCTAAAATTTTAAATAATCTGAAATATAGAATTAATTTTAAGTAAAAAAAGGTATATAAAACGAATATATTAACTATACTTGATTTTTAGAAGGATTTAATGATATAGGATATTTATAAATTATTTAAATACTAGATTATAATATAACCTTAGTCATTAATACTTAGATTGTAAGCCATTAAATATTTTATATATCTTATAATTTAATTAAACTTTTTAATTGAACTAGAACAATGTCTAATGATTATTTATATAATAGGGTAATTTTTATATTGTAATTTAAACATAACTAATTTATATAATGGTATTCAGTTAGTAAGTTATTTTTATTAAGTATATACTAAATATTTAGAGAAGATATGATTTTGATATGATATGTATTTGATGATTTATTTCAGTTTTTCACTTGATTTATATAGTTAGTTGTACAACTTCATCAATTTATATACTGTTGATTTCGGTAATGCATCTCATATAAATTGAAATTGAAATTTATAAGCTATTATTATTACTATAACTATAGTTACAGCTATTGCTATTTCTATAGCTATGGGTTGTTTATACAGTAAACGAGCAAAATTATACAATACTTTTTAAAATAAAAAATTTATATAAATAAAATAAAGTGAAAATAAAACAAAAATAAATTTTATTTATTTTATTTTTATTTATTGATTTTTAAAAAAATCATAATACTAATATTTAATTCTATTTCCATTTGTGACAATAACCGTGTTGATCCTCTGCAACATATGTCAATTAATTTTTATAATATTCTGGAGGAATATCTTTTCAAGCATTTTTAACAACTTTTTCAAGCTCTCAGATATTAGATGGTAGAGAATAAGACGTTGAATTGTCATTTTCATTTTTGCCTAAAGATTTTTTATTGGTTTAAGTCTGGATTTTGGGCATGCTAAGGAAGCATCACAATTTTAGCACTTTTACGAGCAGCTGCAGCAACTTTTGAATGATGCAATGCAGAATTATCTTCTTGAAAAATTCCATTACTATGAGAAAAATACTTCTGCAAAGTAGGAATAACATATTTTTAAATAGTTTCAGCATGTGTTTTATCAGTAACTGAACTATTTAAAGGAACAATTGGCCCAAGTCTATTTCAAAAAAAGCATCTTCAAACATTTTGCGCGAACTAGTAATACCTGACTAAACTCTTTTTTGAAAAATTGTAATTTCATCAAAAGTTTCGTTTCTTTAATATTTTTATATAAATAAATATAAAATTATTATATTTTTTAATGTATTTAATTCAAGGAATTTAGATCAAGTTAAATATAATTTCAGCAATTAAGTAAAATAATTTTGTCATTAATAAAAAACTAGTTTTGTCATTTCAATTTCATCAATTTTGTCATATTAAGAAAGGTAATTTCATCAGGTATCACTAGTGTGGACTGTATTTTACAATAACTTAACTGCAATCAGAATTCAATTCTTCTTCTGAATTACACATACTTTTTCTTGATGTACTTGTTGAAATTATGTAAAAATATTTTCATCTAAAAAAACACTTTTTTCCATTATATCGTTGTTCATTTATCATATATGTGAACCCATTTAAAATGAATTTGACAATATACTTCTGTTATTACAGATTTGTGATAAGGAATATGAGCGCTAAAGCTAACTTTTTTATGAATATGATGTATAGTAAATGCAAAAATAGGGTTTTTTAAATGAGATATCCAAACAGTTAAAAGCTTTTTACACAAAGCTAACAATTTTTACTATTTTCTTGAACAAAAGCTTTAAGTTCTTGTTAAGATGATATATTAAGGAATAGTAGGTGACCAGTTTGTTATTTTATTATGAAAAAACCAGTTTGATGAAGGCATTTAAGTGTATAATAAACAGCTGTTTTACTATACTATAAATTTTAGCAATAATATGATTATTCACATTTTTTACCATAAATAATAATATCATGTGTTATTAAGGTAAGTATCTTTATAATTTTATAAAGTTTTAACTAAAAGTAAAATAGCTAAAAAATTTTATGTTCATGTTTATCACATAAATAAATAAAAATCATAATATTTATATCTTGTGATTATATGATAATCTTCCTAATTTTAGTAAAAAAAATTGTTTGCATAATTTTGATCATTGATTGTATAATTAATCATTAGTGTAAATTTGTAATGTAAGCTTTTTTATAACATATTTATAATATAGGAGGCAGTCAGTAGAAAAGGGGGAAATCTAAATTTTGGTCAAAATTTATATTATTAGATTACTTGGATAATCTCGATTATGTGCACAAATTTGGCTTAATAATAAAAATTAACAAAAATTTTGGATTTCCCCCTTTTCTACTGACTGCCTCCCATATGTTAAATTTGATCATCATGTAAAACATTATTTTTATAAAACTTAATTTTATTAATCTTTGCTAATTTTTATAAATTCATTTTTTTTTCTATTTGAATTACATTTGTTATATTATATTTTGTATATAGTTTTATATAATAGCAACACTAGTCGAATGATAACAAATAGGAGACTAATTGGGTCAAATCTGAGTTGTCAAATTTGACATGATTGGTCTCCTATTTTTTGTTTTTTTAGAATCAGATGATTTCGATTGATGATAAATAATGGTGCAGATAGAATAAAATAAGATTTCAATTGCAATATTATAAAAATATCAATAGGATAGGTTATTCTTATTAATATCAATTTATTAATATCCAGTTTCCAATTAGATTATCCCTGAATCATCAATAGGGATATTCTTATTATTATTGTCTGAAGCGTAGCGAAAGACCATATAATTCCATGCTGTTTGACTCAAAATGTCCAAATATTCGTCCGCTTGTTGTTTGAGTCAATCAGTATGATTGGTGTAAATAACAAATAAAGAAAGGAATCACAATACTTTTACCATTTCTGTAATTAGTGTAAAACTTTATTATTATTAAATTATATAAAAAAGCTTCAAACTTATAAGGATTCCCATTTTTTAGTCTATTATACAAATAGCATATCCTGATTGATAATATTTTATCAAATTATTATAATACAGGTAATTTTATAATTGTTTATTTATACAAGTAAGCAATCCCAATTAATTACTATAAAAGAATTTTATTATTAATATGATTATATTAATATAATACTTTAATTATAAAAAAAATACATTTATAAATAATAAGCTTCTAATTCTTACAAATTTATTAAATTTAATTATTTGTTAAATTTAATAAGAAAAAAAATTCACTCCTATTAAAGAAAAAAAAATTAGTAAAAACCTGAAAAAACATCACCAAAAGAGTTTTAATTTGTAGTATACTTTAATCAATAAGCAAGAAAAATCAACTCCTAATGAAAAAAGAAAAAAATCTGAAAAATCTACCATCCCGATTTGTAAACTTACCTTAACTAATAGCAAAAAAGTCCACTTTATTAAAAAAGAAAAAAAAATGTAAAAATCCAAAAAAAAGTCCTGATTTGTATCATATCTTATTTAGTAAATAAGTAAGAATAATCTACTCCAAATAAAAAAAAAAAAAAATTAGTAAAAATCTGAAAAAAACTACCATTCCAATTTGTAGACTGATCTTAACCAATAGAAAAAAAATTCACTTCTATTAAAAAAGAAAAAAAAATAGTAAAAGTCTAAAAAAACAACAACAAAAGATTCTCTATTTGTGGCATACTTTAGCCAATAAGCAAAAAAAATCCACTTCTAATAAAAAAGAAAAATGTTAGCAAAAATCTAAAAAACCATTATCTCGAATTGTAGACTTATCTTAACTAATAGCAAAAAAGTCTACTACTATTAAAAAAAGAAAAAAAATTAGTAAAAATTCGAAATCCACCATAAAAAAGCTATTTAACTTATACAAAGAAATAAGGTTTAGTAAAAAAATAAGTAAAAAACTAAAAAATACCTCTGAAAGAGTCCTGAAAAGCCACTTACTGTACCTTATCCAAAAGAAAAAATGTTTACTATAAAAAAAAGAAAAAATATTAGTAAAAACTAAGAAAAAAGCGTTTCTAAAAAAAGAAAAAAAAAATGATTCTGATTTCCTAAAAAAAGTTAAATATATTGGAGCTTGTCAATAGAAAGAAAGGAAATCGAAAAAAAATTTTTTTATGAGTTAAAGTTAAATCTGAACTTATTTTACTAAAAAAATCATATTTAGCATATGAAGTAAAATTTTAATTTTTTTTAGATTTCCTCCTTTTCTATTGACAAGCTCCTATATATGTTTTATGTTTTACTATGATATATAAGATTAATAGTAAACAAATAATAATAAAAAGTTAATGGAAAATGAAATCATCATTGAATATGATATTTTGCTACAAAATAACGAAATTTGCCTTTGAAATGATAAAAATCACTTTCGAATGCAAAATTCATCATCATTTGCTGAATTTCATTCTGATTCATTAATGAAATACTTAATAAATTATTATTACGAATTTCATAATGAATTATTCAATGAATTTTGTTATGATTCGTTATGATTTATTTAAACGAAATTCATATAATGAATCATTTAATGAAATTTGTATAAATGAATCATTATAAAGAAATTCGTTAGTATTATTATTACGAATTTCATAATGAATAATTTAATGAAATTAGTTACAATTTATTTAAAAATGAAATTCGTATAATGAATCATTATAACAAAATTCATAATGATTTGTTATTATGAATTTTGTAAAAATCATTCAACGAAATTTGTTATGATTCGTTGTAATGAATTTCATTATGATTCGTTTAAAAATGAAATTTGTATAATAAATCGTTTAAATAAATTCATATAAACAAATTATTATAACGAATAAAATTCATAAAGAATTGTTAAATAGAATTCGTTTAATGAAACCATAATAAATCATTACAAAGATTCGTTAACGAAAACTGAAATAAAATATTAAACAGAATTTATTTAACAAAATCTATAACGAATCATTAAACAGAATTCATTTAATGAAAACTATAAAAAATTATTAACCAGATTCATTAATAAATCATTAAATGAAATTCATTTAACGAAATCTGTAACGAATTATTATACAGATTCATTAATGAAACTGTAATAAATTATTAAATAGAATTCGTTTAATAAAAACTGTAATGAATTGTTATACAGATTCATCAATAAAAACCCAAAATAAATCATTAGCTGGATTTGTTAAACAGAATTTATTTAACGAAATCTGTAATGAATCGTTATACAGATTCATTAATGAAAACTGAAACGAATCATTAAACAGAATTTATTTAACAAAAACTATAACAAATTATTAAATAGAATTCATTTAACAAAATTCGTAATGAATCGTTATACAGACTCATTAATGAAACAGTAGGCCAGTTCATTTCTGATCATTTAGATTTTTGATCAGATTTTGAGTTGATAATTATTAGCTGACAAAATCATGTAATCTGATCAATAATCTGAAGTTTGTGAACAAAAAAAAGGTGGAATTTTTTGATTGAATTTTTATCTACTACCCGACTGCTATAATAACACGTAAAAAACACAGTTTAACATACTTTTAAAAGAACTTTATTAAATATGAACCAATTACAATTTAATGGAAAAACTTCAACTAAACATTCTAACTCTTCTGCTTTTTATAGAGCTGAAACTCAAAAAAAGCATATTTAACTTCACTTACTCTGCAATTTATTTTACCTAAACCAGTTTTTACTAAATCACAATCATAAAATATTCTTCTTCAACCTCAACAGCAACTTTCTGAACTTCCTTAGCAGCAGCGACACCAGTTTCAAAAGTAACAGCAACATGTCTTTCCTTTTCAACATCTTTCTTATTAAAAGCAATGTGTTTTTCTATAGCAATATGATCCTCAATTGTATAATTTGTTTTTCACTTTAATTAAATTAAATGAAATTTTGATGAAACTTATTTGGTAAGTTTTGTAATATATATTTTAACTGTAAATATAAAATATTTATTAAAATTTATTTTAGTTTAGAGAAAATGATAAAATTTCTCAGCTTAAAAAGACCTGTATTTCTAAACAATCTTATGCTAAAAAAAAGATAATGATAACAAAGATCAAGATCTGATAAAAAATCTGGTTGGAAAAATAGTGAAATTGATATCTTACTTGATTATCCTCAAGAAAATTTTATGACTTGGTCTAAAGGAAATAAAACTAAATTTTATAATGACATGGTAAAGAATATTTTGCCAAATAAAGAAGCAATTGCAATAAAGAGTAAGTTTTTTATTTTGCTTCTTTATAAACAAATATCTTAATCTTTAATTATTTTTTTTTAAATTATTTAAGGCAAACTTGTATGCTTAATAAAAAAATATGAAAATGTTAAGAAGCATAATAATCAATTTAGAGTAAAACGAAAAGATTGGAAATGGTAAGATAAGCTAGATATAATTTTTGGAGCATATGAAAATATACCACCTTTATTTTTGACTAATAAGTCAACAGATATTATGATTGAGAAGGAAATCGAAACTAAAAAGGTTAATAAAAAACAAAAGAACAAAAATAATGTTGAAGTTATGACCATAGCAATAGCTAAAATGAGTTAAATACGTGAAAAAATTTGGGAGCAAAAAATGATGTTAAAAAAGAAAAATTAGATAAAAATCATGAGTTAGAAAAGAAATGATTAAAAATTGAACAAGAAAGATTGGCATATGAAAAAGAACGTGAAAAGGAAAGAATGAAAATGGAATATGATTTAAAGGTGAAGGAATTAGAATTAAAATATAAAAAAAATTAATGTAATATTTTAGTTTTTAGTTTTATATTATAATATAATTATAATAAATCTTTTTTGATTAAATTGAAAATTTTATTAATTTTGTTAAATGAATAACTGATTTATTATTTGATCTCTTTTTATTTCTCCTGCTCTTTTTAATGAACTTTCATTTAAATTACCTTCATAATTATTATTATTATCATCATTATCATCATTACTATCATTACTATTATTATTATTATTATCATCTATTTCTTAATTATCATTATTTATTTCCAAAAAATTATGTAAAATTATATAACATTCAGTTAAACAAACTGCAGTTAATATTTTCCTAACATTTAAATCTTTTAAACAATCAAACCTATTCATAAGTCTACCAAAAGCATTTTCTACTATTATACAATATAAAGAATGAGTAATATTAAATTGTATTTGTAAATTATTTTGAGTATTAGTAAAAGGTTTAATAAGAAAATTAGATAATAGATATGCTTAGTCTCCTAATAAATAATCCCATTCTTTTATAAGTGTAGAAACATTTTGATAAAAAAATGAATTTTGATATATCTTTGTATCATAAACTAATCCTAGTTATCCTATTTCATAATCAATAAAAATACCATGATAATCAACAATACTTTGACATTGAATTAAATATTTTTTTTATGATTTCAATATATCTCAAGTTGTTTTAATGAAGCATCTTCTAAGATTATATGAGTACCATTAATGGCATCAATAATATAGTTATATTCTCCAATATCTTTAAAACCTGAATGAACCATCTTTCTTGTTTGTCCTGTTGGTCATATAACTAATGAACTTTTTAATAAAAAAATAAATAATATGACTTTCTTATAATGGAGATAAACAGTGTCTTCTAAAAAACCATATTATGAACATATACTAAAAATATCATCCCTGTTCGTAAAAAAATAGCTAGTTGTAATTCAACTGAAGCTTATTGTTTATTACTGGTTGATTGAAAAACTGTGTATATATTAATATTATTTATAAGACTTTGAAAACTTTGGGAATCCATTCTCATAATTTTTTTAAATCTAATGTCATCAGAGTCATCAAAAACTTGGCTTGATTTAATAAAAAGATTTATTAATAAATTTTTAATAATTTGATGGCATATCATTTTTTTTATAAAAAAATTTTAAACTTATTAATTAAAAATCAGTATACTCAATTCTGATTTTGATCACATGTTTGGATTGGTTAATGGATTTTACAATCAAAAACCCGAACGATCAGAAATGAACTGGCCTAGTAACAAATCATTAAACAAAATTCATTTAATAATAATTATAATAAATCATTAAACAGAATTTGTTTAACGAAACCTGTAATAAATCATTATATAGAAAACCGTAATGAATCATTATAATAAATTTTATAATGAATTGTTTAAACAGAATTCGATTAATGAAATCTATAATAAATTATTATAAAAATTTTGTAACGAATCATTATAGCGAACCATTAATAAATTTTATTACGTTATTATTAACAAATCATGTTAACGAGACTTATTAATGAATTGTTACCAATTGATAAATTCTAATGAATAATAATCATCAATCAGATATTAAACTGATTGATAATTAATTATTAATTAAACCTGATTAATTATTATTTAACATATAATTATAAATTTTTTAAAATAAGTATAAAATCAGGTTGGAAACTGATTTATGTATTTCTACTTAACAATTATAATTATGATATTAACTAATTCATAATCGATTATAGTATCTACTGATTTCTATCTATAAATTGCTGATCAAAAAATAGTGACCAATTGGGAAGTTATCCGATTGATCAGCATTTGACCTTTAAAAAAAATTTTTAAAATAAATTTTTTGATTTTAATTTTTAATTTTATTATTAATTTATTTATAATAAAAATTTATATGTAAATATTTTGAATCTGCTAAACAACTTTCCTTATGTAATCAAAATCAACTTTCTTTAGCTAAAATGTTTAAATTGCTCTATAAATAATTGTACAGATTAAAAATAAAATAAAATATATTTCATTAAGATAATAAAATTACAAAAAATATGCATAACTTTATAATTATTAATCTAATCATAATAAAAATTTATATATACATATTTATGAATTTGTTAAACAATTTTAATTATTGATTAAAGTAGTTTTTCATTAACTAACTTACTCAAATATCTCTTTAAAATAATGAAACAAATAAAAAAAATTAAAAATAATTTGTTGATCAATATAATTGCAAAAAAATGTTTATAATATAAAATTTAATTTTTTGATTATTTTTGATTATAATTAAAGATAGGCACTTATAATTAAAAAAAATAATGCAAATAAGTTGCAACTCAATTGAAATTTGAAAATAATTATAAAGATTATCTTTAATTATAATAAATACAAAGTAATTATATAAACAACTTATTAGAATAAAAAAAGAAAATATGTCAAATAAAAATCAAAGATATTTTATAAAATTAGATTAAAAAACTATTTTAATTCCTTTATTTCATTTGATTTGATTAATTGATCTGAATTTTATCAGATTATATCATAAGTTTGACTTGATTTAATATTAACCTAAAATTTGTTTATCTGATTTGAATTTTTCAGGTTAGTCAGATCAGGTTATAGGGTAATTTAATCTAATTCAGAGTTTTATTAATAATTATAAATAAAAACTTCAAATATAAAATAGCAATTAATTTTATTAATAAATAACTAATTCATGTTTAGCATTTCTGAAATATATGATAAGTTAATTAAGATATATTATACTTTAAAATATTTTTAGAATAATCGATAAGATTATTAGTATATATATAATAGCAAATTATTTTTTTGAAACTCTATTCTAATAAATTTTATTTAAACTTTTAAAAATATATAGATATTTTTGTTTATTCTTTTAGAACTTCAATAAAATTTTGTAATACATTTGATTTATCTGAATTTTTTGCAAAAATATATCCCAAAAATTAAACTATAAAATTAGTATAACTTATTATTACTAGTTGAAATAATCCATTTCGTCACTTTTTTAAAATGCTGAATGTTGGCCGAAATATAGTCTAATTTTTGCTAATCATTACCAAAACAATCAGCATTTTTAGTTATAGCTAAAGTTGCCTAAATTCAGGTATTACGCAAATAGACATTTGACATTAACGATTAGTAGTTATTTGATATATTACTAGGTAAAATAATATAATTCGTCACACTTAAAGTACTAAAAGTTGGCCAAAATATAGTCTAATTCTGTTAATTGTCCAAAGCATACGCGTAGGACATTTCCGGTTAGAGCTGAAATCATGCATATGGTTTCTATCATGACGCGTGATCAGCCAATCATAATTTCTGTTATTCATTGTGTAACTCAATTTTTTCTTTACCTGATTTTATTTATTTATTTATTTTTATCAATATGATATTTTTAAAATTATTTTTAACAATATAATTATTGCTAGTTTATATAATTCGTCTTTTTATGATATTTTTAATAATAATATATAGTTTTAATGATTAATTTAAATAATACTTTATTTTTTTTTAATAAAACGAATATCTTTTGTCAGTATCTTTTGTACAGTATCTTATCTTGAAATATAACTATAAAATCGATTAAATATAAATTCTCTTAGCTCTTTGTAAATTGGCTTATCAATTTTCGTTGATATATTTTGCTTCTAATATTCTAAATACAAATGGAAAACTGACTACTTCGTGAAATGCTTTGAAAGCGAAAGTCCAGAGATAATGAGTCAGCCGACAGACATGAAGCTCATTATATCTGTTATAGAAATAATAAACCGTGAAAAGTTTCGCTGAAACTGCTGAACAGCTTGAGATTTGATTGAGTAAAAGACGTGAATAGTATCGTGCGAGAAAAGAAAATATTTTAAAAAGTATTGACTTAAACCAAGATACTAACGCTCATGATCATTCCGATACTGATCGGAATGATGCTAATGACAATATTCTTTCTGAATCAGATCGTAACCTTCTATGTGACTTTCGTACTAAGATTACTTCCTATGTGAATAATATTTGTTCTGTATGTAATGAATCCTTTCCATTCATTATGCTTATACGAGATCAGTATCGTCATTACAATAATGACAAAAGTCCATTGAAAAAGTTCTCTGCAAGAAATAACATAGACCCAGATGAAGTACTTGATGAATTAAGTGATCTTATCGAAATTGAGGAGATGTTAATTGCGCAAATATTTCTGATTATTTCAGTGTATTGCCTTCACAGTGGATAGTATGCTTACTGTGGTAACATTATTAACTTTCCCCAGAATGTAGTGAAATTTGCGACAAGACTCCCTTGACATCTGTCTATACTTAATATTCTGATTGTGCGACGATATTCAGCAGATGGTGTGGATTTTAGAGATTTTAACGTCCGCTGTGATAAGGTTACTCATGCATTTTACTTGTTGAAAGAACATAATTGCTATTATATAGATGTTGATATTGATGATAAAGTGTTACGTTCTTCACCAGAAAATGGACCAGTTAATGATCTCCTTTCACAACTGGATGATGAAGAGGGATATAACTTTAATGATGATGATGACATCCTTGAAGACTCTGTAGATAGAAACTTTATCCCATTCCTCTTCTGTTTCCTAACGAAGAGAGTGTAATCGCTGATACACTTGGTCAAATGCAAGCTGATAATGATCCCATTTTGTGATCAACTATAGATGGATTTTCCATAAATGAATTCCAGACTCTAAATTATATTGCTCGTATCTTTCTAACATTATATCCGACTGGAGATGTTGATCTTTGATCAGAATATGCTAGAGAAATCAAACCTGCTGAATACTTTTTGCATTTGCTCAAATATAAGAACGGAAGGTTCGCTTGTCATACTCACTAGCAATACTTTGCTTTATATGATACTCATCAATTTTAATCAGAAGACGTTCTGAACTGGCTGACATAATTAGGCAATTAGAGTCTCGAGGATTGGTGTGTTTTACCTTTAGTGCTGCTGATTTGTATTGGTCTGAACTATATGATCTTATGTCGCATGGATCTGGTGAATGTCTAAATGTGTTGACAGAACAGGTATTATTTAAGTACAGACGTCATGATCTGATCAACAATCCTCATATTGCCGCTTGGTTCTTTAAAACCCATTTTAAGCTGTTTCTGGAGAAGGTGTTAATACCGAAATGGAATCTTGAGAATTATTGGTATTGATTCGAATGGCAGCATCGAGGAAGCTCTCATATGCATGACATCAGAAAGAGGAAAGATGTGCCTATTATTGAATGGAATAGAATGAAAGAGGATGAAAAAATGATGAATAATGTGATGCAGTACTTTGATTCATTAATTACCACGATTAATCCTGCATTAATGCACCAATTCCTGATCTCCATCTATGCTAAAAACGTCCTGATGAACTGCAAGATGACCTGCAGGATTACTTTGATTTGGTAAACAAATTACAACATCATACGCAATACAATTCGTCTTATTGTCTTCATATAGATTATGCCTAGAAACAATCTTGCAGATTCAGCTATCCGAAAGAAACCACAGAAAATACGTATCTGCGTGATGATAATGATCATCCTAAACTAATAACTGCCAGGAATGATCTTTTAATTAACCCGCATCATCGCTTACAGCTTTAAGATTGGCATATAAATATTGACTTGAAACTGATTCTTTCAATATATAGTACATATCCAAATATGCCAGTAAATCGGAATCCCGTTCTGTTGCTTTTTCAGATATGTTAACCAGG